CAGATAGAAAAATCTATCACCCAAGGTTATAGAGACCTCTGGTTCTTTGTATGACAATGGCAAATATCAGCAATCTAGAATCCCAAAATGTTGCATATTTTTTAGGCTAGAAAGGACTTTGGAAAGAAATTAGCTCAACATCTTGACTTTCTCATTAAGCAACCTGAGGCTCCGTGAAAGGGAAAGGTGAAAAGGGCATGGGAGTAACAGTCATCATGAATTAGTATCATGAGCTTCACATTTCCACGAAAATGATTATGCCATTATTATTTGCAGCTTAGCAAAGAAAGCTCAGAGTAGCTAGGAAAGTTGTTTGAGGTCACAGGCAGGATTTGATCCCTAGTTTATCTGTCCCTAAAACTGGTGCTCTGTAATCCACCCCACACCTAGGTCGTTAGGGACAGAGCTAGAAAGAGATGACCAGGCTCTGCACTCTCTCGAACATTCTCTGTTTATGAAAATTATCCCTCATGCAGAGGCATGGGACGTGTCTGGATGATAGAGACCAAACGTGGCAGGATACAGTTCTTGGTGACAAGGGAGGACACTGTCAGTGGGGATGCAGTAGAGAAGCAGGAGGAAGCCAATGACATGGAGCTTCTAATGTGCTCATGAAAAAGAACATTTCTATCAAATGTGTGTTTCCCTACCTCAGTAATACTTACTTGTATCCTCTTAAATCTATCTCTTATAATATATCAGATCTATAAATGAACAATTTGATGAAAAAAATCAAACTGATCATTTTACAGATACTCTGGAAGGAAAGAAGAATGGACGTTAGGACATCTAGACAAATCCTCTGGCTGAGCAAGAAGAGAAACCCAATGCCTAAAAAGGGAAATGACCCACAAACAGAAAGTCTAAGCCACAGATTCAGGCCTCTAAACAAACAATCATTGCGGTTTCCCAGGTCACCCCTGACTTCAAGGTTGGATCAGAGGTTTACATGCAGAAATAAATGCCATCTTTGACAGAAGCAGCATCACTTCCCAGTATTAAATGAATTGTTCTTCTGGAATCTGAGATTATGAAAAGAGTGGGCAAAATAAAAGAACAGAGTAGGAAAGAAAATTAGAGGTAAAAAAAAAAAAGAAAAAACTAAATAAACAAAACAACCAGGAGATATATTTAAGATAAACTCATAGATATTCTCACTAAGATTTGAGGGGCTATCAAATCAATAAAGAAACAAGATTATGAAATGGAATGATTTTAAAGCCAGAAATTTTTAGAAAATTGAAAGACAGGATTTTAGAAGTAAGGGAAAAAAGTGATGGAGACAGAAGAAAGAATTGGATTTGCAGGAAAAGTAAATACATTGGTATTTGAGGAGTTAGTTCAAATATGCTCCTGTTGCTCAAGGAAAATAATAGAAAAGTGACAAGAGAGGAAATAAGCGATAGGTAGGATAAGATGAGAAATGAAAGAAATAATAAAGTTAGACTAAATAATTAATGTTCAAATCAGAAAGGCTCGCCCATCAAATTAATGCCATGAGGCTGTTGACTATAATTCTTAGATGTAGCTTTGTGACATTCACAAGGAAAAGGGGAAATAAAGAAGAATCTGTAACTTAGGCAGGCAAAGGGGCCAGACCTACAACAGCAAAAAGTGTCATGTGACCACTTGACTTCTTCCTCGTGCCACCTGGCAAAGGACCAGTGTGATCTCCAGCATGGCACCCCCGTTAAACAACTTCTATTGCTTCCCAATGTAGTAGAATAAATTACAAACCTGTTGCATGTTTTCAAAGTGATAAATTTAAAGTAAAAAAAATCCTCATGCATTTTCATTGTTGATTTCCAACTTTTAAGGAATAGATAAGTTATATGTTATGTAAATTATTCCAAAATCAGAACATTTTATGAGGCAACATGACCTTGCTAACTTGTGAAAGACAGCACAGAAGAGAAAACTCTAGTCTAATCCCAATTTGAAAATAGAGGTTCAAATTAAAACACACACACACACACACACACACACACACACACACACACACACACACACAAAGAAAATCCATCACAGTATTTTCGGCAATTATGCTCATTATGTACTTTGGTAATATCTCAGTATTAAAACATAAATTGGCTATTTTTCCACAAATCTCAGCATATAATAATAGTTAATACTACAAGAACATTTACCGAGTTCCATTTTATGGAAAATAAAGACACAGAAAGGTAAAGAAATTCATCCAAGGCCACACAGAAAAGTAGGGTTGGCGCTAAGATTTGAATCCAGACAGTCTGGCCCTAAAATCTGAGTTCTTTGCCCCTCTGCTGCAGAGCAGACATGTGGTGAATATTTTTTGACTGCATTTTCTTATTTCTACTCTAGTTGTCTATTGCTGCATACCAAACCATCCTGAAATGTAATTTTTTTAAACATAAAATGCATTGCTATGACTCACAGAAGAAGTGTCACCTGCCACATCATATGTTTTATTTAATAGGAACTCCATTTTTCCTGTGCAAAATCAAAATATAGGCAGTGTAAGTGTTCTCAGTATGCTTAAAGTAGGCTAAACTAAGCTATGATGTTTGGGAGGTTGGGTGTATTATATGCATTTGAGACATAATGGTATTTTCAACTCACGATGGGTTTATTAGGATGTGACCCTATGTGATACTTGGTGGAAAGCAAGAATTCTCCCTTCCACTCCTGCTAGTTTTTCTCAGTGCACTTCAATCAGCAACCACTTTCATATCCTCATTATGTGTCTTCTAGATCCTTGATGGAAATATGAACAAGTGATATGTATAATCTTATTCTCCTTGGGTCTTACACAGAAGGTGGAACACTGTTAACACTCTTTAGCATTTTATATCTTGAAAAACTGCCTATATTAAGAAAGAGAGACAAAGTATGGAAGGCAGGAAAAGAGGAAAGGTGGAAGGGAAGGAGAACAGAAAAAAGAGAGGGAAGAAAGAGAAGAGAGAGAGAGAAAGAAGCCATAGCATATATTTTAGTCACCATATACAAACAAAAATATGGAAAGTATACACTAAATTAATAATAGTGGCTATTTCTCTGTGGTGTGATTAACACAATTTTTTATCTTAGCTTTTCCATGTTTCATAAATTTTTTATAATGGTCGTATGTTACATCTGTGATAAAAATGTTATTAGTACCAAAACCACATAGTTCAGTTTTTATGCTGGTATTTATTTATTTATGTATTTGTGGGGGTTTTCCTTTCTTTTCTTTCCTTTTTTTTGTGTGACAAGGTCTTGTTATGTCACGCCAGCTAGAGTGCAGTGGTGTCATCATATCTCACTGCAACCTCAAATTCCTGGGCTCGAGAGATCTTCCTGCCTCAACCACCCGAGTAGCTGGGACTACATGTGTGTGCCACCACACCAGGCTAATTTTTCTATTTTTTGTAGAGATGGCGTCTTGCTCTTCTTCAGGCTGGTCTTGAACTCCTGACCTCAAGCATTTCTCCTACCTGGACCTCCTGAAGTGCTAGGATTATAGATGTGAGCCACCACCCCAGCCCATTCTTTACTATTGTTTTTTTACTTCTAAGAAATTTATCCCCAGCTGAGATATAAATGGAAAAAGAAGACTTGCTTGGCTTCCTGTAGGGATCTTCCAACACAACTATATTTAGTTAGAAAAGTGTACCATGCCGATTCCCTTTCCTTCTCTTTTCATTTATGCTTTTATAGTCCTATTGTCAGGCTATTGTCCTGCAACTTAACCTCTATGGAATCCATGATCTTACTTTATTTTATGAATGTAATCACTAAGTCATGTACCTACCATGTGTGAGGCAAGGCACTGTGCCATAGGTAGTGGATGGAGGAGACACAGATGTTGATGGACCCACACACCCTATCTAAGCTGTGATTTTATAAGTGTTCCAATAGCAGTCTAAAGAGCTGGCTTGGGATCACAACAGCAAAACATATCAATTTTTCCTAGTGAACTCAAGATATAGTTTTCATAGTAGGTACTATTGAACTGGATGATAGAACAACCCACTTTTGAGAATGGTAGGATAAGGAAGGGTGTGGAGGGGAAACAGCACAGGAAATGGTGTGGGAGCTGCTAGGAAGCCTGGAGAAGCAGCCGAGAGGGCAACGTGGTGGCAAGTGAAGGAAACACAGACCAGGAACCAAGGACCGAAGGGCTCATAGCCATACAGAGAGTTGCAGGTTTTTCTGTGGGCTTTCAGGCGACTGCCAAGGCAGGGGCATGCCTGTGTGACAGGCACCAGCTGTGTTTCTCGCAATGCACAATCCCTTAATATGAGCCCTTGAAACAGATACTTTCTGAATTCAAGGTGATAAATCCTTACTCAAAAACAATTATTTAATTTGCATTCTCAGTAAACTTAAAGGAAGATATGTGTCCCAGGAGGCTTAAATGGAGGTGAAACCCCAGGAGCTAAGCCTGAGTTTGCAGCCGTTAGTGCCCTGTAGGAGAGAGCCGTTGTGATCTGGAGACTCTGCCAGGGGCCCCTGAGGAATCTAATACACTCTCCCTCTTCAAAAAATAAAATATAATAAATAAATAAGTCACACCAAGTTGTAGTCCTTGGTGTTTCCTCTTCCCCATTGGCTAAAAGCACTGTGAAGCTAGGCAAGAACTATTGCTTTATTTACTGAGAGTATTCACTCCAGTGCTTGGACCATACTGGGTGCTAGAAGCAAGTTAATTAACATACACTCTGGAAAAGCAAGACAAGGATAAGCATCCCAGAAGGATGAACCCTAGAGAGGAGATGCAGGCCACCCTGAGACCTGACACAGATGCTTTCCCCCTTGGGTACCCATAGGTGTCTCTGGCACGGAGGGTGCCAGCCACTGAGGCAGCCCAGAAGTAAACTAATAGAACTGGTTTAGGCTTTAGTTGAAGAAGCCAGAGCCACCAGGTTCTTTCTCTCCTGTTTGTCAGGAGCTAATTCTCCCTGAAGGCCAGGAGGAGAGGAGAGGAAGTTTGTGACAGAGTGGGGGTCCCAGCCAATCTCAGACCATCCGTGAAGACTTACCTGTAGGAAGTGTGTGTTTAATGTCTGTTTTCCAGGACCCACTGAGGATAGATGGTGGAAACTGCTCAAGCTCCTCACAGTTAAAGTCTCCCCGACTTCAATTGCACAGGTTCATTCAATGTCTCAGCAGCAAGTTGCTGCTCAAACAATTAATCCTTCCTTGATTTGTCAGCTGGACTTGCACCTTCATTTTTCTGAATCTGCAAAACACTTTGTATTTAAGGATCTTCAGGGTAGCATGTCAGGACAGACAGAATATTTGCTTTGGACCCAAATAACTCTGGTTCTGATATCCTACTGTGCTATGCCCTAAACCTGTGACACTGGAAATGTATTTATTTATTTGAAATGCTGTTGATTTTATCATCAAAGAGAAGGTATAGTCACCATGCAATTTTTGTGAGGATTAACAGAAACTAAATATAAATGATTGCTTTATTGTTACATTTAAGTGGGTCTTCTAAATACTATTAGAAGTCAGCCAGTCCTAAATTAAAACTCCATCTCTACCACTTAATCTCTGGGTAAAACTTCAGGCAAGCTTCTTTGTCTTTGGATACTTGGGTGTCCTTCTTCTGCAAAGTGATATTATCTTATAAATTGGTTGTAGGAATTAGTGAACATATAGATAACATACCTAGCACAGTTTGTGGCAGTTTTGGCAGATGCTCATATGTGGCTGCTTCTCTTCTTATCTTTCCCTGGTATTGTTGCCTTGCTTCTCTCCCACTTCTTAGACTACAAGCTTCTTGTAGTCTAAGAAACATGGCTACTTCTTGGCATCTTCAGTACATTTATTAATTGAATAGATAACATATGAAAATATGTTGAATAATTTGCTTAAAAATATTGGGGAATGAGAGAAATAAATCTATTAGTGGATTTCTATGATATTTAGAACACAGTAACTGCCTGAGCCCTTCAAAAACCTATGATAGAGCCACTGAAAATAAAAAGCAGCAAATTAAAACATACTACCAGAGATAATCACTTAATCACAAAGGAAGACATGAAAAAAGGAAGAAAGGAAGAGAGGAACCTCAAAACAACCAGAAAACAATCAAACAAACAAAACAAAACAAAACGGCAATAGTAAGTCCTTATTTATCAATAATAACACTGAGTATAAATGGTCTATATTCTCTAATTAAAATATACAGAGTAGCTGAATAAAGAAACAATACCCAACTATATGTTGCCTTCAAGAAACTCACCTCACCTATAAAGTCATGCATAGACTGAAAGTGAAGGGGTAGATAAAATATTCCATGCAACTAGAAACCAAAAAAAGAAAGAAAGAAAAAAGAATAGGCATAGCTTTACTTCTGTCAGATAAAATAGATTATGAATCAAAGACTAAGAAAAATACAGAGAGGCTTACTATATAATGATAAAGAGATCAATTTAGCAAGAGAATATAGCAATTATAAATATCTATACAGCCTACACCAGAACTCCCAAGTATATAGCTTTATAGCAAACATCAATACATCTAAAGGGAGAGATATGCTGCAGTACAATAATAGCAGGGGACTTTAACATCCCATTCTCAGTAATGGGAGACATCCAGACAGAAGATAAAGAAACAACAGAGTTAAACTACAGACTACATTTAATAGGCCTAATTGACATTCATAGAAAAATTGCTGCAGAATATACATTCTTTTCATTAGCACTTGGAACATGTTCCAGAATAGACTGTATCTTAGGGCACAAAATAAGTCTGTATAAATTCAAATAAATAAAAATCATATCAAGTTATTTTTTACCACAATGAGATAAAAGTAAAAATCAATAACAAGAGGAACTTTGGAAAATACACAAACACATGGAAATTAAACAATATGTTCCTTAATGACCAATAGATCAGTGAAGAAATTAAAAAGAAAATTTAAAAATAATCTTGAAACAAATGAAAATAGAAATGAAAAATTCCTAGTATCTCAAAATTTATGGCATATGACAAAACAGTACAAGGAGTGAAGTTTACAGCAATAAACATCTATATCAAAAAAGTAGATATATTTCAAATAAATACCCTAACAATGCACCCTAAGGAACTAGAAAAGCAAGAAGAAATTGAACCCAAAATTGGTAGAAGGAAAGCAATAATAAAGATCAGAGCAGAAATAAATGAAATTTGAGACTAAAAACATAAATAAATCAATGAAGTGAAAACTTGATTTTTTGATAAGATGAACAAAATCAACAACTTTTAGCTAGACTAAGAAAAAAATAAGAGAAGTCCCAAATAAATAAAATCAGAAAATAAAAAAGAGATATAGCAACTGAGACATAAGAAATACAAAGAATTATTACAGACTATGTAATACTATGTACAACAATTATGTACAACTATGCACCAACAAAGTTGAAAACCTAGAAGAAATGGATAAATTCCTGGACACATGGAACTCACCAACACTGAACCATGAAGAAATAGAAAACCTCAACAAACCAATAGCAAGTGACAAGATCAAAGTCATAATAAAAGTCTCTTATCAAAGAAAATCCCTGGACCTGAGGGCTTCATTGCTGAATTGTATTAAGCATTTAAAGAAGAATTAATATCAATGCTACTCAAAATCCTCCAAAAAATATTGATGAATACAGAAGACTTCCAAACTTATTCTAAAGGCCAGCATTATCCTGATGCCCAAATCAAACAAAAACACAACAAAAAAGATAATACTACAAGCCAATATCCCTGATGAACATAGATGCAAAAATTCTCAACAAAATACCAACAAACAAAATTCAACAACACATTAACATAATCAAAAACAAAAACCACGATTCTTTCAGTAGATGCTGAAAAAGCATTTAATAAAATTCAACATGTTTATGATAAAAACCCTCATCAAAGGTACTGAAGGGACATACTTCAAAATAATAAAGGTCATATATGACAAACTCACAGCTAACATAAATGAATGGGGAAAAATTGAAGGTATTTTCTTTAAAGACTGGAATAAGAAAAGGATGCCAACTTTCACTGTAATTATTCAACATAATACTAAAGTCCTGATCAGAGCAATTAAGAAAGAGAAAAAATAAAAGGCATCCAAATTGGACAGAAAGAAGTCAAATTAAACTTGTTTGAAGACAACCTAATATTATATCTAGAAAAACCTAAAGATGCCATCAGAAATTGTTAGAACTGATAAATTCAGTAAAGTTGCAGAATAAAAAATCAACATACAAAAATCAGTAGCATTTATATATGCCAAAAGCAAAAAAATTTGGAAAAGAAATCAAGAAAGCAATCCCATTTACACTCATTACAAAAAATATAAAATAACGATGTACCAATCTAAAGAAGTGAAAGATCTACACAAGGAAAATCATAAAACTCTGATGAAAGAAATAGATGAGTACACATAAAAAAATGCAAACAGATTCCTTGCTGATGGATTGGAAGAATTACTATTGTTAAAATGACAATACTATTCAAAACAATTTGCAGTTTCAATGCAAACTCTATCAAAATACCAATGACATTGTTCACAGAAATAGAAAAAAAATTCTAAAATTTTTGTGGAACAACAAAAGACCCTGAATAGCCAAAGCAATCCTGAGCAAAAAGAACACAGCTGGAGACATCACTCTACCTGACTTCAAACTTTACTACAAAGCTGTGGTAACCAAAACAACATGTAATGACATAAAAACAGACATGCAGATCACAGAAAAGAATAGAGAAGACAGATATAAATTCACACATAACCAACTCCTGTTTGACAAAGGTGCTAAGAACATATGTTGGCAAAAAGATGGTCTTTTCAAAAAATAGTGCTAGAAAAAACTGGATAACTATATGAAGAAGAATGAAACTAGAACTAGATCCTTATCTTTCATTACACACAAAAATCAAATCAAAATAGATTAAAAACTTAAACCTAAGACCTGAAACTATGAAACTATTATAAGAAAACATTGGGGAAACACTCCAGAACATTGGTCTTGGTAAAGGTTTCTTTTTGTGTGTAAGACCTGAAAAGCACAAACAACCAAAGCAACAATGGACAATTGGGATTACTTGAAGCTGAAAAGCTCCTATACAACTATACAACAAAGGAAACAATCAAGAAAGGGAGTAAGTAATTCCAGAATGGTATAAAATATTTGCAAACTGTCCATCTGATAAGGGATTAATAACCAGAATATATAAGGAGCACAAACAACTCAATCGCAAAAAGCCAAATCATCCAATTAAAAATGGGCAAAAGATATGAATAGACCTTTCTCAAAGAAGACATACACATGGCCAACAGGTATATGAAAAAATGCTCAATATCATTAATCATCAGAGAATTGCAAATCAAAACTACAATGTGTTATCATATCACTCCAGTTAAAATGGCTTGTATCAAAAAGACAGGCAATAACAAATGCCAGCAAGAATATGGAGAAAGTAAAAACTCTGTACACTGTTGGTGAGAATGTAAATTAGTGCAGCCACCCTAGAGAACAGTTTGGAGCTTCTTCAAAAAACTCAAATTAGAACTACCATAGGATTCAGCAATTCTATAATACTTCTGGGTATATAACCAAAAGAAAGGAAATCAATATATCAAAGTGATAGTGATATCTACATTCCCAGGTTTATTGCAGCACTATTCATGACAGCCAAAATGTGAATCAACCTAAAGAAAATGTGGTATATAAATATGGTGAAATATTATTCAGCCATAAGACATGAAATCCAGTCATTTGTAACAACATGGTTGGGACTGGAGGCAATTATTTAAGTGAAATAAGCCAATCACAGAAAGATAAATATCACTTGTTCTCACTCATATTCAGAAGCTAAAAAAAAAATGGGTCTAATGAAGAAAGAGTAGATTTGCGGTTACCAGAGACCAGGAAGGGGAATGGGGGAAGATAAAGAAGGGGAATATAAAGGCATTTATTGCCAATGAACTATACATTCAAAAACGGTAAAAATAGTAAATTATATATGTATATTTTACCTCAATAAAAAAATAAATTAAAAATAAAACTATTCCAGGCTTTGCCTATTTCTCTCACTTCCTACCTTTCTCTTTCCTTCCTATCTCAGCACAGTGCATCCACCCTGATCTCATGGTGTCCAGAAGAGGCCAACCTCCTCTAAGACTCAGGTGTTTGTGCTGTTTGCTTTGCCTGAAAGACTGTTCCTATGGATTTTCATGTAGCTGTTTCCTTCTTGTCCTTTGAGAGACCTTATC